AAAATGGGAGGTGAAAGGGCCTCATAAGTGGAATAGCCTAGGGCCTCTTTTCATCTAAATCCGGCCCTTGCTACAGTATTATAACAACCAAATACAGATTAGTTAATGCAATAATTTTTGCAATTGCTATTTATGGCTGCAAAAAACAAATGGCTCTTTTAAAAAAGGCAGAAAAGGGAAGGATGGATGCCTTTGAATTGTGGTGCTAGAGGCGACTATTACATGTCCGATGGACTGCAAAAATAACAAAGTCCTAGACGGAACCTCACCAAAAATATCACTTGAAGACAAGAAGACCAAACAGTTGGTTAAAGTCAATCATGCTGGGCGTGATCAGCAGAAAAGGCCACTCTAGCACCCACTGGCTGGACACTGTAAAATATGACACTGAGATGACCATGGTGGATCTGAAGGAGTAAGTGTGAGACAGAGGGGCATGTAGAGAGATCATCCATAGGGGGCCAAGGGTTGGGTATGACTGAATGGCTGATGTGATGATGACATTATCACAGATTTCCTAAGAATGTAGTATCGATTATTACAATTAAAGCTAGATTATTGAGTAATATCTAATGAGTCATACAACAGCAAAGTTTTACTCTGGTTTTGAATTATAATAGAAAGTTTTAAAAAAAACAAAAATTATTCATCTGTGAACCAGATTAAACATTACTTTAAAGAAACATACATGCCTGCTTCTATTATATATAAGATAGATGTGTCTTTAAGTGAAAAGCAGAGAAGCTTTGCCATTGATAGAAATTGAATTAAGATATAAATAAAAATTTTGTGCTTAGGAAAATTTCTGCTTGTTAAAAACAAATCTGATGGTATTTTTTTTTTTCAACAAAGCAGCCTCACTCCCTGAAACACAGAAATCTTTAACACATCCTTAAATATTTCTGAGGGTTAAGTCAACACCAACAGCAACTGATATATTGTGCCTCCAGGAACTCAAATAATTTCAGCATATCCTGCATTATTAATTGCAGCAACAAAAGATGTTAAAGAAACGTATAATAAGGGATAGGATTAGGGGGAACTATGTGTGTATTTTAAAAAGTGAAAATATTGTTTATTCTTTAGAAAATGAAAGGTAGCACTGTCTCTTTTGTTTATATTATTAGTGATGACTAAGGCTGGTTATCTTCTTGCATTTTGCTACATCTCTGGCCTGCAGAAAATGTGACCCATCAAACGGTCTTGTGCAGCCCCTCCCAAAGCACTTTTTTTAAAAAAAATAACCAATTAACCTGCCATCCAACATGATGCTACGCAAGAAGGATCCATGGCCACAGTTTTTGCAGCTACTTCTACCCAAATATAAATGTTTTTGAACCACTGAACAGCAGATCAGTGCACCGGCTATTCTTTTGTGGCCCACAATTATTTTTAAGGTATAAGTCTTTTCCTCTTCAGATATCGCGAAGGCCCGCTCTATCCTATGAAAAAAACTGTTACATGATTGACAAAAGGTTTGATGGGCAGGAGAAGTCAATACTTTTATGAGCCGCTTGTCCCTCAATTTTGAGGAACTGATTTCTTCTGCTCTCCCCTCGTCCTGTAAACAGAGTTTCTAGATTTTTCATCTTTTATCATTGGAACCTGTTGTGGCCCAGCAGGAGCCGTTGGAGCTGCCACCAGACTCCGACAGCGAAGGGCCCTCTGAGTCGGCTCTGGAGGATGTGGAGGACCCTGGACA